CCTCATAGCACTCCACCATACTCGCACATCACCAGGCTACCCCAGCTCATAGGCTCTGATGCCACCTCACACTCCAGAGAAGCCAAACATGGTACCCCGACCATCTGCTGGCTTGAAATCCATAACATTTCCATGCACGCTAGCTAGCTTGAGGGTGCCACTTGTACATGCAACTCTAAGTTGAAATTGGTTGATTTGTGTGATATTTACCAGGGGAGGACTGGTCTGAACTGGTCTGAACTGGTCTTAGACTGAATTCAGTCCTAGACCGGTCATGGCTGGTCTTGGACTGCAAGGAGGACTGCACAGGACCAGGACCTGGTCTTAGTCCGGTCCTGCACAAACTTGTGCTGGTCCTTGACCGGTCAGAGTCCTGGTCCGACACAATTTCTGAAAAAGACCGGACTGGACCGGACCCTCAACCACTAGACCTATCCTCTTGACTGACGCTAACTTCACCGTGCGTCCAGCTGGTGTAAGTGTAGGCCGCTTTGGACGGCGACCTCCCACAGTGAAGGAGGCCGGCCTCTTGTTAGCACGACCCGCAGGTATCTCGAGACGCACTTCGAGTGTCGATATCACCAAGACATTGCCAGAGAAGGTGTCCAAGAGCTACGTTGTGCTAGCCAGATCTGAAGCCTTGTTCGGCGCACCTAGGACGCTGAACGAGCCGAACGAATACCTACGCCTCGAGGTTCCTATCCCCTGCCAAGTCCTTTGCGCTTGTATTGGCAGTCAAGAGGAGCACGAGAAATGTGCGAAGGCAATCCGCGGCGCCAGGGCACCGCTAGTGGTGTTTTTTGATGTTGTGCGCCTGAGCTCAGCGCTGACCTTGTCCACATTGGCGCCCTGCCTCCGATTATGCTGCGGGATCTGCTGCATTCGTCAGACAAGGGGCTCACGCGGAGCAAGACGAGGCGGACACTTTGTGCCGGCCACCTGGATGGCGGGCGGCGAGACCGAGAGCTATGTGTGGTGCGGGTGGACACTGAGTTGGCAGAGGCGGCGACATCTACCAAAACTATTTAACCAAGGTACGTAGCATATTCGCTACAGGTTGTTGGAACTGACGGCCATCTTCTCTAGGTACCCTTCGTCGTAGTCAGGCGACATGAAGTCGAAGAAGAGCCACAACCCGCGCGCATCTGCACTATCCGCCACGGCACCGTCCTCCTCGGAATGAATCCCCCGCTTGAATCCACCACCATGACAGCGATGTGATCACATTCCGCCTCCTCTGCCCTTCGACCCATGCCGTCCATACTACTCGACGAGAGCACCCGGACACCCCCTCGATTCTGATCGCTATCCGCACTGAATTAACGAGGAGATAGCAGCTTTCTAAGCTGACTTCCGTATACCACCGATACCCTTTCGCGAACCGTCTAACGGTGCATCGCGGCTCTATGTAGTGGGGCCCCAGACACTGCTGCACCCACGGAGCATCGTCAAGATCACATAAGATGTGGACGACTGGTCAGACAAGATGGCGTCGTCAGTGAACATGATCCCCTCGCTCTCGTACTGTCTGGCCACTGCAGCATCAGATCTTCGTCCCTGCTTAACGACGTGGAGGATGGCGAGGAGGATGGCGAGAGCTCTGGCCAGTGTAACCGGAGCATGTTGGGAACAACTGAGGGACCTGGGAGTCTTGCCGATCGCCGCACGAAAAGGAAACACCACACGCGGACGAAAGCGGCTGCTGTTCCCTCCGGTCGTGATCAGCACGATACCGCGGACGACCTGGCCGGATGCCGCTGGCGAGGGCGAGGAGAAGCGAGAGTCGGTCGTGTTTGGAAAAACGGCAATGCGAACGATAGCGAGTTCGTGGGGGGTACCGTTACCGAGGAAGTCGAGCGAATTGCGGAGGAGGAGACGAAACCCCGGTCGGCTGCGTATGTGTCGCTTCGGTGTCGGCTGTGGTCGTGCACGATTCTTGCCCTGCGTAGGTTCGTCGAGTGTATCGACCATCTTTCATTGCTGTTGTGCCTGCCCCGCGACTTTCACTGCCGTAGTGGATTGGGCGGACCAGTCATGTGAACGTTTGCATTGCATCACTATACGATGTCTGCTCGCAATACGGTCAATTCAAACCAGCTGTACCGTCTCGGGCTTGCTTTGTTTGTCTGCGAGAGAATGTTTCTGTCTCTCGCCACATCTCGCTCACTGTAGTCAATCTGCACCACGCGGTGTTTTCGAAGTAGAGACTATACAAGCGCAGCCGATACCCTAAGCACATTGCTATGTGCTGGCTGTGTGCAAGCTCTCAAGATAACTACTCAGCGCCGAGAAATTGAGCCGAGCACCCTGCTTCCCAAACAGCACGTCCTGCCCAAGGAATCCTGCTATGCCCTGCCAGTCTGCCGGAACCCAACACAGTCGTGCCTGCCGAGTTGGCGTCAGCGAGAAGATCCAGCTATCTTCGATGTAGTATATAGGCCAAGTGCGGCGCGGGAGCCAAGGAAGCGATGTCGTCGCCAGCGCATCTTCGTTGAGAGGCGCCCATAGCTGAATGAGTCGTTTGTCGTCGTCAACTAGGACTCCAGAGCCGTCAGGGGACAGTCGCACGGTGCTGCCCCAGGTAGCCGGGCTGAGGACGAGGAGACAAGCGCCCGTTGCGATGTCCCAGAGTCGCATGCCATTACCGCGATCAGAGGAAATGATGACGTCCCCACCAGGAGCAAAGGCGACTGACGTTACCCAGTTCGTATGCCCCTCGA